AGGTCCTCATGCTCACCAGTCGGCTGAGGGCGGAACTCATCCGGCCGGTCCTCTGCCAATGATTGCTTATTTTCTTGCTTTTTTTGCGGACTCAATCTGGGGTGCCTTTCTCTTTTTGTCGCCTGTTTCTTGAACAGGCGCACTTTCCTTGACATTGTCAAGGTCTGTTTTTTCTCCACTTGACCCAGTGGCCATAACAGTGGGCTTGACATCCGAGAGATAGCACTCTCGGGCCATCCTCTGATCTCCCCTTAGGGAGCCGACTGTTCCATTGTCCCTTTCAAACTTAAGCAGCATAAGTGACGGGATTATAACAGCCTTGGAATTATTCAGGGTTGGTCGACCCAGAATCATGTTGTAGGCAGAGAGTTCCTCTACCACTAGGAACCGGACTACCATGTGTCGTCCTTCCCCTTTTTCGCCCAGGCGGATGGGTAGATCTACTCGTCCCAGTGGGTGGACGACTCCTCCTCCAAACCCTATTAAAGGGTGGGAGGCCGGATGTATGCAGTCCGTCTGATATTTCAGTTTTGACAGACATTTGCTGCTGATGAGATCTGAAGAGCTCCCGGTATCTATGAGGATTCGACCAACTCTCTGGTTGGCCACTTTACATTCAATAACGAGAGGGTCGTCATGCGGCCCCCTTATTCCTCCTAGATCCTCTTCAGTGATGACAATCTCAGGAAATGTATATTTGGACGGTCGTTCTTGGTGAACGGAATTTACATCTAACCGCCTTATATTATCTTTGTTGCCCCTAATAGTGGGGCCGCCTCCTGAGAAGCCGCCTGCAATGGTGTAGACGACTGCATCATCTGTATCGGAACTGTCGGCCTGTTGATTCTTTTTGGCCGACTGCTTTTTTGAGGCAGTATTCCCCGTAGATTTCTTGACATAAGTGTCAAGATTACCTTGATCAGCCAAGTGGTCTAGGTACCGCATGAGACTGATGCAGTCATTGGTGTGATGACCAATGTCATCATGATAAGCGCAGATTTTGTCTTGGTTCCGGTTGCTCGCAGAACCCTTCATGGGGAGCGGCTTCTCAATTGAGAGCCGTCCCTTTATTTCTTTTAGGATAAACTGGTTATCCTTGTTAAACACATACTTTGGGGAGTATGGTTTGAATTCTTTTTTCTTTTTCTTGGCCGGCTGTTTAGAGGAATCAGCCGCCCAGACCCCTTTTCTTTTTTCATCTTTGTTGGACGACTGTTTCTGTCGTCCCTCTCTATTGTCGAACCTCTTCCCGTCCGACTGTTTCATTGTACACAGATCAGTCGCCTGTATATAGGCTTCTGCTTCAATCAAGGCCTCTTGAAGAGTCGCCACCCTTTTTCGAACTAAATCAAATTTGAAGGTAGACCCGTCTTTGAGACCTCTAAAAAAGTCAGTATAAGCTACCTCATCCGGTAACCCTTGAATCTGTATTCTCATCAGGTTGAACCGCCTGATGTAGGAACGAAGCCCCTCCTTTTCACCCTGCTGAATTGTTCCCAAATCAAGGGTCGTTTTCTTCGCAGGGATGTTCATTGCGAAGTTGGAGGCAAATAAGTAAGCAAGCGTCCTGAAGCTGTTTACACAACCAGTCGGCAGGTTGCCGAACCATTGCTGTGCAATTCCCTTGAGAGTCGCTGGGAAACACTTGCACCAAGTGGGATCATCCAACCCTTGAAGGTACATCAGGTTGGTGAATGCCATCAGATGGTCTTCCGGGTTAGTAGTGCCATCATAGGCGCCTACTAAAACATTTTTTACTTTGGCCGGCTGAGCGGCTTCAGTAATTTCCTTGGAGAAGGCCGACGGCTGTTCACCAAGTCTAAGCAGCCGTAGCTGCCAGTCCATAGGTTGGACGTTTTTTGCTGCAGGTCCACCAAATGGAGGTGGCTGCATAAAATATTGTTGTTGCGGCACAAATGGCAAATTTGGTACCGCCTGCGTACTATGAAAGCCAGACTGACGGGAGGTGCCGCCTGACTGACTCTCATGGTACGACTGAGTTGGCCTCATCGAGGCATTTCGCAAACTGTCCTGAAAATTTGAAGTAGAAGCCGACTCTGATAATCGGTCACTCTTCTTCTGCTCTAGCAGGTGCCGAGCATCTGTGAACGTTTGCTTTGACCCGTCCGCCTGAATATGACGAACCGATTTCCTATTTCCCGTAGGATAACGGAGTTTTGTGAAATCAAGAGCAGACGGCTCCCGCTTCTTAGATTTAGGATGGGGAGTCGCCTCTCGCCCTTGAACTGGCTTCCTCTTCAGTGAAGTGGAAGGTTTTTTGGCCGCCTGCTCTTTGACTGAAGCAGGCGGTTTTTTGTTGATCAACTCTTGGATCTCTCCCTTGAAGCCCCTCATGAAGGTCATGAGTTCGTTCCTTGTGATGGGAGCAGACCCATCAGTCGGCTGTTGCCGAGCAAGCGGTGCGCCTGCTGGCTCGCTTCCTGTTTGAAGATACTCCCGTTCCCTTATTTCAGTATGACGGGTACGGCGGGCCCTTAGGGTCCCGTCTGGAGCTGTATGAGTTTCAACTTCAAATTCACTTTCGGTATCATGGTCCGACTGAACTTGAGGGTCGTCTAGGGGACGCCTCTCTTCTGGAATCGGTACAGACTTGGATGCCATCTCTGAAGTACTCTCCCCACAGACGGCGCCAAATGTTTCGGGGTTTTCTGATGTCCTGCGGGAGAGTTACAATTCCGAGACTGGAACCGGACGCCTGTACCTGCAAAATAACGGAGACTCCTGAGAGCTCCGCCTCCAACGGTCAAGTTAGTACCTGATTAAGGAGTAATCAATACAGAAATTAAAGTAATCAGATCTCTCTAGGTGAGAGTGCTTAGTGTTGGTAATCTGTGTTGTTAGCGAGATTAGCCGGTTGTTAATAAGTCTGTTCTTCTCTGCTTGATCTCTTAATTATTCGGTTCTTTTCTGTTGTGTGATTAATGAGGATTAATCGAGTATTTATAGCCTTGGGAAGCGTGCAACTCTCTAGGTTTAAGGTAAACCTAGGGCTGATCGGGCCTCTAGACTGAAATGGGCCTTGATGGCCGGTTGTCCCATTTGGCATGGGTGGACACGTGGCGTGTCTTAAGTGGTCCGTGGAGGACGTATCTGTGACTGACACGTGGCAAGCTCCTGTTGGCCTTCGTGAAGGACACGTGGCGGAACCTGGTTGGTCCACTTGTCAGACGGTGATTGGTGGACAAAAATCCCCTAATCACAAGGTATATATGTTCCAAGAATTTTGGTGCGTAATCTCTTTCACTTTACATTGTTTATATATTTTTTAGACTTGGTGACGACTCTTAAACCATAACACAATCAATCATAATAAATCATTCAAGCAATCAAACATACCAATTTAATTCTTGAATAATTAGTGACCACATAATTTAATGTTGAATCCTTTTTAAACTACCTCGGTATTAAATAACACCTTAAGTGCATAAAGCACTGCAAATCCTATCCCTTGGTGTTTAGAACACCTTAAGTGCATGTAGGCATCGCATTTCCTTTTATTCTTGTGTACTAATAAGACACTTAACAGCTCAATTCCCATGCTTAAAGCATCAATAAAATATATGAACTTCAATAAAGTTCCCTTTTTTTATTCCATACCAAATTAAACATATAGTTTAATTAAACATGCTCTCAATCAAGCCAATATTAAAAGTGTAGTTCATATTCAACATGCCAATAGAATTAATTCCACTCATCAATTCACCACAAATAATTCATACTTCACAAATCAATCACCAACATCAATCCAATCAACAATTCCAACTAATACCTATCATGATACTACCATGGAATTAATTAAACAAAGCCTAGCATGATATGTAGTTCATATTCAACATGCCAATAGAATTAATTCCACTCATCAATTCCCTTTTTTGTTAAGTATTTAGGAGTTAATAGCCTATATAAGAATTAAGAACTCTCACAATTATTACCTATTATTATAGGCTTAACAGTAAAGGCAAAGTCTTCCCGTCAACATAATTTGTATCCCTACCTTATAAAAAGTACAAGATTACTCTTATAAATAGTATGCTACCAATTATACCCTTCAAAATGTGTATCTACAGATTTACCCTCATCAATGTACAAGTTTTTAATTTGCCTTCATTAATATTAATAGCCTTTTTTTTTTCTTTTTTTGCCTTCATTAATATTAATTGCTTTTTTGTTTTATTTTTTTCTTTTAACTATTTAAAATAGTAAGCAAACATTTATACCCCTAACATATTTGTTTACATATTTCCCTTCATTAATGTTACCAACAACTAAAAAAGCCCCCCCCCAACATGCGATGTGCGCGTTAGCCACCCTAGTTGTAGTAAAAGAATTCTCTCTTAGACCTTTATAAGTTGGAACTTGGAATTAAAAGTTACTCTATTTCTCTATCTTTTTTTTTTGTTTTTTTTTTTAACTACCTCCATTTCTTAAAGTGTGCAACAAATTAAAGGAATATTTTATTATATCTCACAAATAATATCATTTTGTTGCACATAATAAGAAACAGAGATTGTGATTTATTTTATACAATCATTCAATTTATTAATGAATTTGAAGGAATTTTTAAATTATGTTAACATACAACTATATAAGAAAGAATATAGTCATATGGAGTATTATTGGTTCAACTATTTATAGATACTAATGTTGTGTTGTGCAATGACAGACGTACGTGAATAAATCAAGAACCATTTAAAAGAAACAAGGCGCCTATACCCCTAGACGGATCTTGTATATTTTTTTGGTGTTTAGAGAGTCACAAGGGCGAGAGATGATGAGAATCGATCTCAAGACCACCTGGAATCGGGAGCGAAGCTCTAACCACTTGAGCTATCTTGTATATAAATGTATAGTAGTGAAGTTTATTTTTATTATATTGTAAGTCACAAAAAGTTCAAGAGTAATTTACAGCATAAGTGCATTAAATATCCGTTTAGTAAGAGTCATGAAAATTTCAAGAGTAATTTTCAGCATAAGCCCATTATATATACATTTATTAATAGTCATAAAAAGTTCAAGAGTAATCACCCTATCAAAGGCAAAGGAAATGTAAATCATCTAGGATTGAACAATAGAGACAATTCGGCAGAATCTAATACTCTACTTTCTAATGAAAATGTGCTTGAGTTCGCACTCTTGCTCACTCTAACAAACACTTGTTCAGGTTTTGGCTTGTTAAGATCATTTATATGTGGCACATGTAGAGACAAAATCCTATTTATCTCTAACCAAATTTCTTTCATGGTCGGTCTTCTCTTTCCATCCAAGATTAAACATTGTTTTGCAAGGTTAGCAATGGCTAAAAACTCTTCCTCTGAGCCTTCTAGTAGGACTTGAGAATCTATGATATTAAGCACAGAAGAGTTTTCCAAATGCGAAAGGAACCATGAAATCAAACTTCGATCCTCTTCGAATGCAGCACGTACTGCCTTTTGTCCTATCAATAGTTCAACAAGGACAACACCAAAGCTATAAACATCACTCTTTTCCGTATATTGGTGAGATTGAAAGTACTCTGGATCCAAGTAACCAGGCGTTCCCATGACATGAGTAACCACACGGGTTTGATCAATAGCCACAGATCTTGAAAACCCGAAATCTGCTAACTTTGCTCTATACTTATCGTACAAAAGTATGTTTGAAGACTTAACATCCCTATGAAAGATGAGAGTAGAAGTTGAGGAATGCAAATAAGCAAGTGCTCCAGCTGAATCAGAAGCAATGTGTAACCTCATTTTCCAAGTGATTGGAAACTCTTCATTTGGATTATGAATATGATGGTAAAGCGTTCCGTTGGGAATAAACTCGTATACTAATAATGGTACGTCGGTCTCCAAACAACATCCCAACAACTTCAATATGTTTAGATGATTAATTTGTGACATAATAACCACTTCATTGATGAATTCTTCTCGTTGGCTTTCTTCCAATTTATTAGACTTCTTTATGGCTACATTTCTTCCTTCACTCAACATTCCTTTATAAACTGTACCATGACCTCCTTGTCCAAGTATTCTATCTTCATTGAAGTGGTCAGTGGATTTTTCTAGCTCATTGATTGTGAAGATTTTTATCCTTTCTACAACTCCTTCATCTGAAGACATTTGTTGTTGAAGCAACAAGCCACCATTTCTCTCAAAATTTATCTTTTGTTGCTTGATAACTTTTCTTTTTTTGGACACTGAATGTAACCAGCACCCAAAAAGTAACAAAAGTGTCAATCCGAAAATTACGCTAAGTCCTGCAATTTATGAGTGGTGTACATTAGATTTTTTAGTAGTATTGGAGCAAGTCTTAATTTATCACCTTGTATCACTACCTTTTATAAAGTTTGAAATAACTCTTAAAAATAGTGTTTTGATAATTATACTATCTAAAATATTTATTTACTTATTTCCCCTATTTAATATGAATGTCTCTTTTTGGAGCTCTAAGAGGAGTGTGCAGACATTGTTAATCCTAACAATATTTGTTTACATATTTTCCATCATTAATACTACCAACAAATAAAATTGTGATATAAGGACAAATTGAAAGAGCTCCTTAAATATGACTAATTATGAATTTATGATGTATGCATTGCCCATGCACGTTAGCCACACTAACTAGTTACTAAACAAAATATGTAAATGAAGTGACAAAATTAAAACTAATTCATGAACTCTTACTAGTATAAGCATGACAATATCATAATTAAATCAACAAAAAAGGGCCACAATTTATGAAAATTTGTAAGCTATTAGTAAATTATTTTACATTATCATATCTAACGAATACAATCTACAACTATCAACATTTATACTACTACTATACTAAAATGAAACTTTTTTTCCTCCAAAAGCATTATAATTCCGTCCATCTTCTTCTTGTGGTTTTTTTTTATCATTTTTTTGGTTTTTTTTTATTACCTCCCTATTTTTTTTTTGTCATTTAGTTGGTTAGTTTGCTATCCAAGCTTATCCAATCAAATTTGTTACACTAGATTATAAATATACATAGTAATTTGTTTCTTGTGGATTTTTTTTTTTTTTTTTTTTTGTGCCATTTGGTTGGTTAGTTTGCTATTCAATCTTGTCAAATCAAAATTGTTACTCTATGATGTAGATAGGTTTCTCCTAAAAATTAGAAATATATACACAATAATAATAATAATAATAATAATAATAATCATAATAATAATAATAATAATAATAATTTGCATATGTTAACACTAATTTTTTTTTAATTTAATCGTAGGAGATGGATTCCAATATTAGTCTCATTGAAGAAATAACACACATAAAGGAAAACTGGAAGGTTAAGGTGCGAATAATTCGTTTATATATGGGGATCTCGAAGTTTTATCAAACCATCCGAAGTAATTAGCATTTATATGGTCCTCGTGGACGGAAAGGTTAATGATTTTTTATTATTATTATTATTATTATTATTATTATTATTATTATTATTATTATTATTTCAAAGTGAAAACTTTTTTTTTTTTGAATAGTAAGTGGAAAACTTATTTTAATATTAGATTAAACAAGTTTAATTCAGTTGATTAATTTTTATTTGTAGAGTTCTAAAATTTCGACGTATGTAAAGAAATTGTTGGTACATGCATTCTCTCCCATGCTTTCGGAAAGCCACGATGTTCGCATTATAACCAATTTTATTGCTGGTCAAAATTTTGGATCATACGAGACATCGCAACATCCATATAAGCTAAACTTTGTCTCTTCAACATCAGTCAACATGTGTGAGGATTTAGAAATTCCTTTGCATGTATTGATTTTCTTTTGTTTCTTAAGATGATGTTTTGTCAAACAAACTTGATGATACATACGTAATATGTATATGATTCTACCAATCTAATAAACTTAGATTTCTTTTTTTATTTTTTTGAAACAATAACAAACTTGTATTTCGTCTATTATTTATATGGTTTTTTTTTATTTTTTAATTTTTTTTATTGTGACTTTATTATCTTATTTGTTTTTTTTTCCTAATTTAGATGTTAGTGGGGAAATTATTTCTATTGGAGCAATTAAACCTTTTTCAGGAATGGAAAAGAATCAAAGAGAATATCATTTGATATTAGCAATTTGGAGGAAGTAGATCATATATCATAACAACAGATACGCATACTAAGTTAAGACCCTGGGCATCGTACGGGCACTACCTAATCTATTAACTAATAATAAAACAAAATATGCTGACATCATCCTTTTCTCCACATATGTCATTCTCACATAATTTTTTTTCTCGCCAATACACTATGATGACATCATCAGCTTATTTTTTTTTTATTTTTTTTTACCTTTGTTTTTTGAATCCTATAAACCTTTTATATGCTTTATCATGAGTCCCTACCGAATCCCTTTTTTACCAGTAGGTTTAACATTTCAATGTTCAAAAGTCTTTATTGTGATTTTTTTTGTATATTTTACTTTACAAGTAATATGCTACAATAGAAATTACTTACTGTGTATATAAAAATTACGGAGTAGAAAACTTTCTTACTCCGTATTATAAACAAATCTCACAATGTATTAGTTTAATGAAACTATGTATCGCACGGGAACTAAACTAGTATAATACTAAAACAAACATCCGGAATGACACATGTCACTTTCTATTGTTGTTTTTTCCCTCTAAAATCCCCTATTTTTATTTTTTTTAATTATTATAAAATATTTTAGATACATATTTCCTCTTACGTAAAGTATGCATAAGAATCACTTATTAGAACTAATTCATTCTTAAATAGGTTAGAAATTTAGAATTAAACAAATTAAAATTAATTACGAATATATTTTTAGAATCAATAATATTTTAAAGGCAAAATTAGCCTCAACATTTTGAACTATAACTTTGGTGCATCCAACACCCTAAATTTTGACTATTAGCTAGAACACCATTAACTATTGATTGAGAATGTGTGCTATCAAATATCCTTTGATTACCAAAAAAAAGTCTCAGTTTGAGTGCCCCAAAATACCCATTTATGACACGCGTTGCACCGAAAAAAATAGTTGGTGGTGTTTTAGCTACTAGTCAAAGTTCGGGGTGTTGGATGCACCTAAGCTACAATTCAAGGTGTTGAGGCCAATTTTGCCTATTTTAAAATTAAATACACTTTAATAATCCCAATTATTGGCGATTTACTTCTAACAATCCCAACTATTGGCGATTTATTTCTAAAAATCCCAACTAAGGTTTGTTATCTAATAATTCCAACTATGGAGTCACTTTGCCTCCAGTAATCCCAACGACCGATAACCTGTTGAAAGGGTAAAAAAATAAAAAATAAAAAACCACGTGTCAGAAATTGATTGCTCCAAATTTGGAAAACAAAATTAAAAAAAAATGAAAAAGAAAAAAGCAATCCCAGCCACCCCTAACCCCACCGTAAACCCTAGCCCACCCACTAACCCCATCGGTAACCGGTCGGGCTCCCCATTAACCCCTGAAAACGGTCGGCCAACCCCCTGCCACCCTTGGGACATCCGTAACCCCTCCCCTCCCACTTCTCGACCCTTAACTCAAACTTTCCAAGATGTTAGCTGGTGGAATAGGGGAAAGTTGTTGGTGGATAAGGAGGTGATTGGTGGTGAAGTTGCGGTGGGAAGAGACGCAACAGCAGAGGTGTGGGCTGGTGGTGGCGATTGATGTTGCGGTGAGGCAGGAGTTGCGGGTCTTGGTGGTTATAGGTGCATGAAGGTTGCTGCTCTGTTTTTGCGGCAGGTGGAGATGGAGGTTGTTAGTAATTGATGGTGGTTTTGGTGGCAAGAGGTGGAGAGTGTAGGGAGGTTGTGTGGTGTGGCTGGTACGGGCCAGGGTTGCTGTAGTGTGGTATAGGTTTAGGAATTAAGGTTGTGAAGGTTAAGGTGTGGGTAGTATAGCTGGCGCCGGCGGTCGGGGGAGGAGGGTTATGGGCGTCGGTCGGCGCTGGGGTAGAGGGGTTAGGCTCAGAGTGGGTGGCAATGGGGTGGCTGGCGTGGGGAAGGGTGTTTGCTTTTTTTTTCATTTTTTTCAATTTTTTTGAAAAAATTTCAATTTTTTGGATCAATCACGTGTTGACACGTGGCTTGGTAACTTGTAATAAAAGGTTGTTGACCGGTTGGGACTACTACAGGCAAAGTGGTAGCTTAGTTGGGATTATTAAATAATAAACCTTAGTTGGAATTATTAGAAGTAAAATCGCCAATAGTTGGAATTATTAAAGTTTATTTTTCTTATTTTAAAAGTCAAATTAGGATATCATTTTTAGATATTTTTTATGGAGAAAATACAAGTTTATAACATTGATTATCAAAGGGTGTATATGTAAATTACATCTAACTTTTGGTTAACTGTTGTTTTCTCTCTCCTCCTTCAACCTTTTGGTATTTTCTGATTTTCTCTCTCCTCCTTCAACCTTTTGTTGTTTTCTCTCTCCTCCTTCAACCTTCAATTTCAATGATGGAAAATACTACTTCTCACTATGACTCGAACAAGTGACATCTATGAAGAAAGAAAAGCTTACCTACCTTCTAGGGTTAACCATGTTCGTTATTTTCACTTTGTTATTTGGGTTTTCGTTTAATTCTGACGGCTTCGTCGCCGGAAATGGTGGTACGAAGTCGAATTTAATGGAGGAAGGAAAACTCAGCTACCCTTTAGGGTTAACCATGCCATTAATTTCTCCTTTTGTTAATAGGGTTTTCGTTTAATTTGGTGTCAAACGGACTTGGAAGATGAGGTGAAAGTGAGCAGAGATTGGAGGAAGAAGATTAAGGTGGATGGGAAGAAAAAAATATGAACAAGAGGAAGAAGATGAACATGAAGAAGAAGAAGGTGGGAGGAAAAAGAAGATGAATAGTAGCAAACAGTGAGTTAACGGTGTTAACTCCAAAAATCTGTCCAACTTGTCATAGTGGCCCAAAAATAGTAAAAACATAATTTTTTTTAATCAAAAAACACAATTTTCAATGCAAATTATTTACGAAAATGCCATTTGATTAACATAATTTGTTTATCAAGGTTATAAATTAGGGCTTGCTCTTTTTTATGAACACTCCCCCTCTAAATAGGAAAACTCTATAGAAAAATGGAAAAAAAATGAATCATCTTACGAGTAGCTTAAGTCACTTCATAAACGTGTACGATGATTGGTACTACATAAATATAATAATACTTGTTCAATTATTCTTCTAATATATTTCCATTAATATATTTCAAAATATTTATTCTATTTTTTTAATTTCCAGCTGCTTATATATTACAAAGCATTTATTTATGTTTTCCATTATCACAAAGTGTATAAAATGCATAATAATTTATGTTTTGGTGCAATTTTTAGCTTCTTAATATTTTAATCAAAATCTCTTTTTTATTATAAAATGGATTTTTTTTTTCAATGCTTTATTTGGTTTCTTGCCCAATTCTAATGAAAAGAACATAAAAACGAAGGGAATATAACAACATAACTTAACATTACAAACATTTAATCTTATATGTAATCATTTAAGACAATTTGATTAATTATTTTTTTATTGTATCTCCAATATAAAATTTTCATATTATCATACTTTCGGGTTATTATCATTAAACTAGTGCGTGGTCCGGACGATGCCCCGAATTGCTAGTTTGTACTTTTTTAATTTGATAATTATGTTCGACTATTTGTATAGTTAGTGTGTGATTCGGGTGTTGTCTCGGATGTTACGGTTTTTTTTTACCTCATATGTATTTATTTTCAAATCTTGTGAAGAAAAAGTAAATTAAATAACCTCTAATTTACTTAATAAATGAAAGGAATATATAATATTAATTATGTGAAATTTAAAACACAAATAAAAGTTGGTTGAGATGGTAAGTGTATGACCTTTATGTGTTGGAGGTTATGGATTCGAATCTAGCTCAAACCATAATTTATTTATTTTGTTGTATTTCTTGTCACCTCGATCACCCTTAAACCAGGCATAGGTGTCACACCCTATAGCAACTAACATGTTTTTTGTGCTTGACAGGGTAAATGTTATCAAGTTGAACGAGCTCCCCCAGTATGCAGTATTGTTACCCTTGTTGTAACAATCGTTAGAAACACCAACTTCTGTGCGGAGTTCTCCCTCTATCAATGAAATGTTTAAAACCTCGTAATCTGTACAAAAGATTGGTGTAGGAGGGCTCGTACTATAATTACATGTGATTTTGAAGGATGATGATTTTTCATTATGTGGTGGTTTATAATAACAACCTTCTTCAATACCAAAGGGGTAAGGAATGCTCAAATTTCCACACTTATCTGAACAGTGTGGGGCGATTACGAGGGGTGACACTACTTTGTCGCCGGTGATTAGTGGTGTCAACACCCAACACAGGCAAATTGTTAGTAGAAGAGCATAACTTGAACAAGTAGTCATGCTTATAATAGTAGTCCTGAAGCTGGATAAAAATTCTGAGGTCTAGAAAGGAGATAATTTGGTGTAAAAGTTTTCAATAATTTGGCCAAGAATGGCATTGAACAAAAAACTGAGAGAGAGAGAGAGCCTTTATTAAGGAAAAGTCTACTAACGGGCTTAACCATCAACGAAAAGTCTTCTTGTGAAAATCAATGTGCAAATAAAATAATATAAAAATAAAAAAACTCACTTTGGACTAAAACGTACACATAAAAATTGAGATATTTAAAATTATTAAGATTTTTTTTCCTTCCATTTGTTGTGTTGCAATTACATATGGAGTAACAAAATTAAAGCATTATAATAAAATCTATTCATTATCCTCAATGCAATGTATTACCCCTTATCTAAATATTCTATTTCTGTATTTTTTTAAACACGTACTATTATCATACATACTATCACGTATTCCATACCTATTGAAATTTGCATTGAAAATTGCAAAAAATTATACCGTACAAAAATGAAAAAATTGCTGGCGGATATCTAGCTCTAATAAAGGATGAATTTGCTTAGGAACAAATAACTCGGGTTTTTAAGTTATTGCAAATAAAGAAATCTTTTCAAATATCATTATTAAAAAATTTCATTACTAAAAGTATAAATTTAAAAATATTAAATCTTTAATTAACTATGACATAAACAAGTAATATGTCTAACATTATAACATACAAGTAATATGTCTAACATTATAACATTATATTGACATATTGAGGTTGTGAGATACTCCCTCTGTCCTTTTATTTTTGCCCCATAAGTATATGTTCACTTTATTAATTTTTGGTTTGGTAAAGTTGATGAGAGAGAATAATAGTGGGTCCTAAATATTGTTTGTGTGAGGAAAATGGTGGTCCCTATTGCTATATATGGTATAGTGCAAAATAAAAGGAACACCCTAATAAGAAAAGTGGAGCAAAAATTAAAGGATAGAGGGAGTACTTCATAAGCACTTTCAACACTAGCTCAAATACTATTAATTGAATATTGCTAAAAGGTATATTAGTAGTTAATTATTGCATAGTCCCTTTATCCATCAGTACCCCTTGAAATGTTGTGGTCCTAACGTCCTAGTGGACAGTATAATCTGAGAAAATGATCAACGTTCAATCAATATAACAAGATGCAACTCATACAATTATCGCTTGACAGGAGAAGACCTAGGCGCAGTTGACCCATGCTATAAGCTCATTTTTGTCCTACTTGACTTGGTCCCTAGCTTTGATGCTCCTGCCAAGTTGAGAGGTTGTGTAAACAGTGACCAATGTTATAAGTTTGATTTACCCTATCTGAACTAGTCCTTAGCTTTGACAGCAGGCTCATGCCAAATTAAGAGGTTATGAAAATAGTGACATATCAACTAAAAGATTGAATACATTATTAATGCCCCGTCAATCAAGTTATAGTCATTTCCCCCTTTATTTCTTCAACGTGGTATAATTAGTCGAAACCTGAATATATCGTACAGTACCTATCTAGAGATAAACGTGTGTAAAACGGTGAGAGTGTTATTTAAGTTAGAAATTTCAAAAGGGTGAAGCTAGCCCACCCCATAATTTATACTCCTTCCAATAAGCTAAGGTGGTATTCATAGTTGACTAGTTGGAGTCGACCTTACATTGATCCATCAATCCATCATTCATTATCTTTAGAATATTAAGTTGTGCAACAGACGAATAGTACAATTGAATTTAAGACGAATTGCACCATTCAATTTTGTACATTTGTACTTCTTTATTTTGGAAAATTCTAAGTTGGGGTTGGAGGTGGCAAGAATCAACATAATTTCACTACGGCCTATGGATTCCCATATATTAAAAAAAAAAAAAAAAAGAAATAAAAAAAATTCTCTTTTTTACTAGTTTATTGAGTCTAATAACAGCGACGTACAGCGACGTACAATAATTTAGCAACTAAAATTATTAAATCTTTTCTTCCATGCATGATTTAGGGTGAAGGACTATAGTTGGGAGAGATGTATGTGTTTGAAAAATATTTCAATTCTACATCCTTCGCTTTATTTTAGTTGACATATAGATCTTTTACATTAGGTATGTTTGTCAATGTATAGTGCATAATTTTAAATATAATTATCTAAAATTATGTATAAACAAAATTATAAGTATTTGATATTTGAAAAATAGTCATTGAGATGAATTTAATGAGACTCCACATACGTGACAATTTTTTCTTAATACTTCGCACTTAATCATAAAATTATATTTTTGAATAGTTTTTTAAAGTCAAAAATATCTCAACTTACAAAATGCAATACAAAGTATAATTTAATTATAATTAGGATAATATAGGATATCATTTCGATTATAATAGAATAAGTATGTAAATGAAAATTTTGTGTAAAACTACCCTAAAGATAGGTTGTTTTGTGAACATAAACCCATTTTTTAAAATTTTGTGTGGAACTACCCGTAAGATAGCAAACATTTTTCTTGCACTACTCATGAACGGTTTCCGTCCCATTAAACCATTTGTGGGGCCCACTACTATGGTTTCCCACCCAATTAACTCCCTTCCTAACTATCTCTATCTTCCTTCATTTACGTTCCCTTCATTTTCACTCCTCTTCTTTGACCTTCCACCTTTCACCATCTTAATCTGACCTAAGCAAATCTCCTATTCATTCCCTTTTTAGAAATTTGACAGGGCCTATAACCTTTTCCCTTGCTGTCTCTCTCTTTCCAATTCATCTTCTTGCTATTTTGGTTAATTCCATGTCAGAGAGTGAAACTGCATCAATGGTTATAGGGAAGGGCAAAGTAAATGCTAAAAATATTGTACGAAAACAAGGATGAACGAGGTACAATGTAGTAATTACTATGAAATTTGTGACCTTTAAATCATAAATTAGAACCCTAAATTTTTAATTACAAAAATAAACAAAATCACTAATTTAATTATAGCCTTAAACCCTTGAAATTAAAATCTCCAAAATTGAATTAAAGCCCTAAATCCTAAATTGAATCCCTAATTATGTTAATTGAAGTAAGTTTAAAACCCTAAACCAATTACACAGACCAAGAATTATAACAGTAGCTTTAAACATTACCAAATTTAGTGAGAAATTGTGTGAATTGCTCAAATTTTTCTCTCTTAGATTTTTGGATGAGTTTGGAGGGAAAGTAAATGAAGGAGGAGAGAACTGAGTGGGAAACCGTAGGAGTAGGCCTCACAAACGGCTTAATTAGACAAATACTATTTATGAATAGTGCTAGACAAACATTTGCTATCTTATGGGTAGTTTTCATAAAAAAAAAACGGATAGTTGTTCTCAAAACAGCTTATCTTTATAAGATACTTGTAGTTCTACACAAAATTTCCTAAGTAGATAACTCATTTACGATACCATCCTTTCTATCCAATGTTTCTTGGTAGAAATATAATTTATTGAAACGTCATTGTTATTTGCTCATTTAATTTTGACACCTTTTATTTTGGATTATCATCTTTATCTTTATCCTCATCCACTTTTGGCCTTTCTTAGCTTGACCTTTGGTTTGGGGAACATTATTAATGTCATTTTCTACTACAGAGTCTTTTTAGTTTTCTTGGTTAATTAAGAATCTTTGGAACCAAGTGGCTTCCCACGCTTCTAGCGTGCCAGGGTTTCATATATATTCAATGGTCTTAACACCAGGTTGAATTTTAATACATGCAGGGGTACCCCTACAAGAAAATTACCTTTTCGCAGCGTACTTCTAATCTTTGGTATCGATTGTATTTGTTACAAAAAAAATTCGCAACGAATGGTTATTGGATACAACATCCACCATTATCATAGCCTTTAATAGTGTTTTTCGATTTTGTTGGGGTTGTCCTCAATAATCAATATGTAAAACTATATCTAATTGTGGTGATTAGTGTAGTGATTACAACGCTATATTGTTGAACTCATTTCCTACACAAAAAAGTAAATAAAAAATTGAGTCTCTGACTCTACCAAACCCCCAAGTGGTAACCCTAAAACCACACACACTCCATTTCTCTTTAGCGCCAATTCCACAACTTTAGCGGCTCTAACCTCTAGCGTCTCTAGCTACCGTAGGCCCAATAGCTCCAGCCTTTAGTCCAGTGGATCCCCTTAATTTGGGTTAGAAGTAAAGATGTACTCCTTATAAATGAGTGCTAGTTGGGTATAAATTAAGAGTGGGATAAGGAATTATATATATATATATATATATATATATATATATATATATATATATACTAGGCCTACGGAGTAAAAAGTCACTAGTGATTTTTTTTTTAAAAAAAAAGGCTAGGAAGAATTATAAGGTTATAGAACCGGTTTCGGGTACTCAGCTGGAACAAGGTCCATATTTTCAAGAAATGAAATCGGATTGGATCGGTTCCTAAACTTTGGACCTAAAAGTGGAACCAATTCTGGTTCTTAACCTGGCTAGTCATAACTAGTTTTGGGTCTGAGACTAGGTACCTTACATTTTTACTTACTCCTAATTAAAACTAATTTTAATTTTCTGAAATCTTATTTAAAGGTGAAGGAGGGTGGAGGATTTCAGTTGCCGACGGGTCGTAACATTGTGATCGAGGGAAAGGGAGGAAGAAGGAAATAATTTGCGTGATTTTAAATTCAGATAAAAGAAACAAAATGTTTCGCGAGTAATATTTTTATTTACTTTATGTACATTAATTACACATATCAATGAGAAATTCCTAGTTTTTAACCTAAACGTATCAAGTGACATTTTTTAAAATATAATTAACTTTTATAATAATGAAATGTGAAAAAGAAGTGTTAACTGTTGTTTATATATGCATTTAACGCCTGCCAACTGATAGAGTTATGTTTTTTATGTATAAAATGAAAGTATGGCTCATGCAAAACTTCATTCTCTCCCCAAAAAAAAAAAAAAAATTATGGCAGCAAACCTGACCCGACCTAGCTTGAAAATAGCGCGGGTTTGGGAAGGCCAAAAAACACATTTATAGTAATGAAAAAAATTGAACTGACCCGAAAAAACCCGAAAGCTCGCTAAGCCCGCTACTTTTTTGCGGGTTTGGGAATGAGATATGATATTAAGGCCTTTCCCGACCTGATTTTTTATCACCTCTAGTTAATATGCAATTACCAATTTGCCCCGATGTAGCCTGCAAGATGTGTCATTTTCGGGGTATGAATTAACCTACGATAATGAGCAGTGGGTGAGAATAATGTGCAATGTCGACTTCATCGTGCACTTACTATTCATAGTTGGATGGATACTTTTTCCAATGCGAAATTGTTACATTTAGAGAGGGAATGGTTTGATCATTCACCACTCAAATTATGTCATGAGGAAGGGGGGATTATGAAGAAGGGGAATGAGAAAAATTTTTGGTTTGAACAAGGCTGGACTGAAAGTGAGAAGTGTGAAGGAGTGATTGCTCATGCATGGCAGTTTTTGGGGGTGCTACAACTGAAGGGAAGCTTGCGTTGTGTGCTACAGACCAGACTTCTTGGAGTGACAAGGAGTTTGGTCATATTTTTAGGGAGATTAGGAAGAGGAGAAAAAGGCTCAGGGTTCTTAATAAAGGAGGGAGATCTGAAGCATAGGTGACTAAGAGACGTAGGGTGGTGCGAGAGATTTCCAACTTGCTCCATCAAGAAGAGTTATACTGGCGCCAGCGTTCTCTCACTCTGTGGTTAAAAGAAGGACGTAGAAATTCAAGCTTTTTCCACCATAAGGCCTCGTCTCGCAAGTAGAAAAATCGCATCTCCAAGCTAGTCACGAATGATGGGGTTGTTCATGAGGATGAAAAGAGAGTTAGCAAGGTTTCCATGATTACTTTCTTGAGTTATTTACCTCTGCTCAACCATCTTTTTTTGATGATGCATTGGTCGGGATAAGTCGAAGAGTGAATGATGAAATGTATAAGGGGATGTGCGCGAACTATACCGGAGAAGAAGTTTTTATCGCCTTGAAACAAATGCACCCTTTGAAGGCTCCAAGACCGGATGGCATGTGCCCTCTTTCTTTGTCAAACATACTGGAATATTGTTGGCCCTGCGGTGACTAGATTGGTTCTTGGTGTCCTTAACGGTGATGTGATCCTTGAGTTGATAAATAAAACTTTTATTGCTCTTATTCCTAAAAAGAAAGCCCCGGAAAAAATGATTGACTTTAGGCTTATTAGCTTGTGTAATATTTTTTATAAGATGATCACAAAAGTGCTTTCTAATCGGCTTAGAACTTTCCTTAATGATATTACTTCGATTAATCAAAGTGCATTTACCCCAGGGAGGTTAATCACAGATAATATTTTGGTACTTTCGAATTACTTCACTGTATGAAGAACTCTACCAGTGAGTGTGGTTTTTTTGGCTTTGAAACTTGATATGGCTAAAGCATGTGACAGAGTAGAATGGGCTTTTTTAAGGGCCCTCATGTTGAAATTGGGGTTTGCTGCTCAATGGGTTAACCGTGTGATGCATTGTGTCTCATTGGTTTCTTTCTCGGTTCTTATAAATGGTGTACCTTCTTGGAATTTTACTCCTTCTAGGGGTTTACAACAAGGTGATTCGTTATCCCCGTATCCCTTTATTTTGTGTGCTGAGGCATTGTCGGGCTTGTTGTCTAAAGCAGTGGATGGTGGTCGTCTTCATGGGATTCGAGTGGCTCCGACGGCTCCCCCAATTTCACATTTATTATTTGTGAACGATAGTATTATTTTTACAAGGGCTAATATTGATGAAGTGAATACTATTTGTGAGGTTCTTCATACTTATGAGGCGACTTTGGATCAAATGGTAAATTTGGGGAAAACGACGGTGTCGTTTAGCAAGGGTGTGAAAGATGACTAGAGGATTGCTTTAGCAAATGGTTTGGGGGTTAATGTGGTGGACATACATGATAAATACTTAGGCTTACCTACGGTGATAAGGAGGTCTAAGAGAGTGCTTAAGAAAGGTATTCGTGACAAGTTGTGGAATCGGCTATAAGGGTGGAAAGGGGGATTTTTATTTAAGGCGGGTCAGAAGGTCTTGATTAAGGCAGTGGCCCAATCTATCAAACCCTACGCGATGAGTGTGTTCAAATTTTCTTCCTCGTTTTGTGATGAATTGCGTTCTTTAGTATCGAATTTTTGGTGGGGGAAAAAGAAAGGTGAGCGAAAGATACATTGGTTGGCTTAGAAGAATCTATGTGAACCTAAGGCAAAAGGAGGGCTAGGTTTTAGAGATTTCAACTCTTTAATGCTGCCCTTCTCGGCAAGCAAGCATGGCGAATTATGCAGGTTCCTGGCAGTTTAATGGTAACGATCCTCAAAGCTTGATACTTTCCTGATAGTGATTTCTTGGATGCGGAGCTGGGAAGCAATCCAAGTTATGTTTAGTGAGGTTTGTGAGTGTGAAGTGGGTGGTGCAGCGTGGCCTTAGGTGGAGAATTGGTGATAGTCTGAGCATTCCAATTTGGGGTATTCCTTGGATTCCAGGTACGCAATCGCGCTAAGTCTTATCTCCGAAAGGTAGTAGCTCGGATGATTTAAGAGTTTGTGATTTGATTCATTTAACTTCGGGCTTTTTGGAATTTTCCTTTGATTAATGAGCTCTTTTTGTCGTTTAAAAGAGAGTATATTTTGGGTATTCCACTTAGCTCTCATCTTCCGGAGGATATTTTTTTAAGACTTGGAGAAGGATGATGAATACTCGGTGAGATCGGCCTATCGAGCTATTTCGGGTGATGTTGATGCGGATTTGCACACTGGTTCTTCAAGTTCTCACAATGTGTGGAATAAGGTGTGGCATGCGAACACACTACCTAGAGTTAAAGTATTTTCTGAGAGCTTGCTGTGGTGCTTTGCCTACAAGGGTGGGGTTGAGCAAGCGTTTACAGAATTATGATTCGGTGTGTGGCTTGTGTGGGGTGGAAGTTGAGACCGAGCTTCATTGCCTAAGAGATTGCATTATTACGAGGCTTATTTGGAGTGAGAGTGGGTTGGAGAGTGCGCTTGGTGATGGACATGGAAGTTTCGGGGATGTGGCCTTAGATTATTTGGAGAAATCGCCAAAATCGGGGCATGGGATCTTTATGACTATTTGTTGGGTGATCCGGAATGCGAGGAACATGTGGATTTTTGAGGGAGAGCATTGTGACCCGCAAGGCTCGTTGGCTTATGTGAATAATCTAATGGTGGAGTTAGGTGGGGATGAGGAGAAAGGGGGTGATGCAAACTAGGAGTTTCTCTTTAAGAAGCCACTGAGAAGAAATGTATGGAAGCTTAATGTGGATGGGGGTGTGATTGAAGGGCTTGGGTCATGTGTTGGAGCAGTGATCCGTGGAAGTGATGGGGCTGCTACCTTTGGGATGTCTTGAATGGGGGAGGAGAGGTGGACGCCAGCCATTGCCGAAGCAAAAACTCTCCTTATGGGCCTTCAAGTTGCTGTGGAATGTGGGTATATATCGATGGTTAGTTGTTGAGAGTGATTGTCTTGGCCTAATTAACGCTTTGAACTCACGAGAGAGGGGAAGTAGTTGTTTTCACCTTGTTCTTCATGATATTTATCATATGTGTAGTTCTTTTGCTTTTGTTTCTTGGAACTTTGTTCGTAGGGAGGGGAATAAAGTAGCCCATGAGCTTGCTCATTGTTGCCTTGGGCTATAGGTTGGCATATTTGGTTTGATAATTTTTCCTTCTTGTATTGTTAATCTTTTGTCTTCGAATCTCTCCATGAATGAAAGTTAGTTGGCCCTAAGGCTATTTTCTTTAAAAAAAAAAAAAAAAAAAGGATGTACTTACAGTATAGGTGTCAAAACCGACCCGATCCGAAATCGACGCAAAAAAAAAATGAAATAGAGATTTTGACTTGTATGAACCCAATACTTTACCATGGGCCATGACTCAAATTTATAGTAAACCTGACCCAACCTAACTTCACCGAAGTCGATGACCGCAAATTATAAGGTGCACCCTGATGCACATAGAAATAGGTGTACCACGCCTATACTTTTGAATTAGTAAAAAATCTGAACAATTGCAAATTTTGAACATTCGGCAAAAAAAATCTAAACATCGCCAATTTTGAACATTTAGTAAGAAATTTGAACAATCACAATGCACCACACCTATACTTTTGAGCATTTAGTAAAGAAAAATATGAACAATCGCAAATTTTGAACATTTAGTAAAAAAAACTGAACAATCGCAAATTTTTAACATTTAGGTATATTAAATACAGCACTATATAATAAATATTTTTTTTTTAAAGAAGTTTATCTGACTCGTAATAATTCAATGGTTTTGTAATATAAAGTGAACCTTTACTACATATAAAATGAACATTTCTTTATTAAATATGAACACATAAAAATTAGATGTTTATGTTCATTTTTGTGATGTGTTCATATTTTTTTTACTAAATGTTTATTTTTTGTAAAATGTTCAAATTTTTTTTACTAAATTTTCAAAAGTATAGACGTGGTGCATCTATTTCTATGAACATAATAACTATTGCTCGACGACATCTGAATTGACAGTTTGACACCTTTATTTACAAAAAAAAAAAAACTTGGATTTTCTTAAAATATCTAGGTTAAAATCCCGTACAATGCACATTTATTAAATATTTTTGATAATAATATTACAGCATATAAAGTATATAAAAGATATATAGAAATATTTTATTTGGCTTTATATGGGATATAATAGTCAAAGTGGAAAGAAAATATTATAAGGTATAAATAGTTTACTTAAATATTTTGCAAATAAAAAATAAAATAAAAAAAAAAAAGGAAAAAAATTTCATAAGGTAATGACAAGTGTCATTGGTTATTCGCTTTTAGTATAAGTTAATAAATATTCATTGCTTCTTGAAAAAAAAATATTATATATTCACCCAAAACTAGTATGGTACGACTGTATAAGGTCCTGTTCTTTAGATCTGATTTGCTTTGCTCTGCTAATTAAAATCTGCTCTGCTGACCCCTGCTCTGCTAGAAGCTCAAAAGAACAGGGCTTAAGTTGTGACTAAATAAGTAAATACGTAGTAGGCTACAAGATGAATGTTTAAATAATAATAGTAATGCATGATTAAAATGGAGGAGCATCTGTGAAATCAAAGGGTTTATTTGTTTGATTATCAAATTGTTAAGGAATTGAAAAAATAAAATGAGGAGAAATCATGTTATTAGCTTTGTTTTAGTCTAATTTCACCCATTTGGAAGAAGAGAAAAGGGTGTAAGAGTTTTATAGAGAAGCCTTTTCTGTCAATTCTGACCAATGGTTGTGAAGTTAATTCATTTCAAGACCATCTGATACCGCCTTATCAAGCTAGGTTGAATAAAAAAAGGTGTTCCTCTGATGATGTTGAATCTTGTTTGGATTGCTATTCGTAGGATTGATTAGCTGCTATGTGTTTTTTGGGTTATTTTTGTGCTTGGGTTAGTTGAAATTTAAATTTTGGTTTGGTAATTACTAATAGGGTTTCAAACTTCTTTGATTAATGTGCAGTTCACCCTTCTGTTGGAGGAACTACTCTAGATTTACATCGCCTGTTTGTAGAGGTTACGTCTCGTGGTGGTCTTGACCAGGTAAGTGGTAATTTCAATAATGAAATTACTTGCTAAGTAGGGGTGAGCATAATCGGGTGCTCGATTCATTTCAGGGCACCTGGTCCCGGAACCGGTTGTACCAGTAGCAAAATTTCGGAACCGGTTCTAAGCTAAGACCGGGTATCCGGTTCTTTTTTTTTTTAATTATGTTGAAAAAAAATTGTAATACTTAGATTCCTGTAAACCTGTAATCAGCACTCCCAACACATTTTGGCAATAATCAACATGGCTATTACTATTAAAGCATTGCAAAAAGAATCATTTAAAAAAAATTGAGCTAAAAACAAAATATTGATCCAGCAATATCAACTTAATCATGATGGAGGACATGCAAAAAATAATCCCACCTTTGATTATTATCTAATAATCCCACCTTTGGGGGTATTCTCTTCTAATGGTCCCTTATGACCGGTAACTTGTTGTTTGGGTAAGATTTATTTTTTTTTTTTTAATTCCTTGGCCATCAGGAGGTAAGAAAAAAATTTAATTTTTTAATTTTTTTTTTCAAAACGATAAGGAAGAAGGAAAGGGGAAAAAATTTAATTTTTTAAATTTTTTTTAAAAGAAATATAAAAAAAATATTTCGACGAATCACAAAATGACACATGTCATGTTAACCCACTATACCGGCTACCAACAAGTTAGGGACCATTAGAAGAGAATGCCCCCTAAAGATGGGATTATTAGATAATAATCAAAAGGTGGGATTATTAACAGCGAACCGGCCAAAAGTGGGATTATTAGAATTAATTTTTCCTAAATTTGTGCTTCAACTTTTACTTTCTAAAATTTCACAAAATTCAACATTAAAATTGCAATTCAGGCTGAATTAGAAGGAAGATAAATATATCAAAAGTCGCTTCAATCGAGAACTCACGGGTACGCTTCAATGGAGGAGGCTCAGATCCAACATTTCATCAAACAATTTGGGGAAGAATTTCAAGAAAGAGAAAAGAGAAGAGCTGAGAAAAGCAATTACCAATTGCGGCAAAACTAAACTCTAGAGTTGCTGCCAAGTCGATTGAAAAATAAATTACCCCAATTCTCAAAAATCCCACAAAATCAAGTTGAATTTGATTACTTTAAACGATTCAAATTCATCCAAAATCTAAGAATTGAGAACGAAAGAGAAGATGAGAAAAGTGAGGAGAACAAAGAGAATCAGAGAAGAGTAGAAGACAATGAAATGAATTGGGATGAAATGAAGTTGGAGAATGGAGGCTGGCAAAAAAGTAGAAAACCTAGTGTAAAAACCGTGAAAATTTTAGGATCCGGTCCCGGAACCGGTTACAACCGGATCCGACATTTTGGACCCGTCCCGGAACCGGTGAGATCAGTTCTAGGTCCAGACCCGGCGGGTCCTAACCGGTTCCAGGTCCAGTACCGGATACCCTGGGTCTTTGCTCACCCCGCTAAACATACATTTATAGCACATACAGTTAAACGAAATTGTTAGACCTTTCCGTCTGTTGTTTATTTCTCTGTTGATGTTCATAGACATAGTTGATTACTGTTATTAACATATTGTATATTTGTATTGTTGTTTTGTAAACAATTTCTTAGGGCCTATAGTTTCTCTCAATCCTGAGTTTTCCATGTATTTGTTTGTCTGCAATTTTGTCGTGATTTTGTAATCTACTTTTTTAAATTTGGGGGCTGGGGAAGCAAATTTAACATTCCCTCCATTTTGTAATAGTTGTTTCAATTTGACATTTTGCATTGATCATATGCCCCACTTTGACCATAATTTTTTAACTAATGTATAAAACCTAATGTTGAGTAAGCGACTTAATTTTGAAGAAACTGGCACAATTGAAATAACTCTTTATGTTTTGCGTATCTTCTACCTTCACCTATGTGGCTCACATTCGGGTAGAAGTGTCTAAAATAGGTAGGCTAGGAGTATATCGGGTTGTTGGTTGTTGTTTTGTTATGCATGAGCTTGGCTGGTTTAATAGATGCCCTGTTTAGGGTTGTTCTGTTTAAGACAGTGGAGGGGGTTTGTGGTTTTTTTTTTTTTTTTTTTTTTTTTTTTTTTTTTTTTTTTTTTTTTGAGGGCCTTATGGTCTTGAATCTTTTATACAAAAAACTCAACAATCAACAATATTTTTTAAGGGTAAGGTACAAGAAGTCAAAAAGTGGACTAAATTATTGTCTAAATTTTTTTACGATCTTTAATTTAAAGTTTTATACAAGTATTGATTTTCGAAAAAAAATCTACAATAACAATATTATGAGTAAAATAATAAATATCCTATATTATACACATGTAGCGTGTGTGTCTCGTAGCTTTTAATTTAATCTACAAAGTGAAGTGGGGGTTTGGGGTGATAAATTTCACTTTCCCAAATTACTCATTTTCACCTAAAAAAACTACCATCCTAAATTTAAGATAAAAAATTTTAAAAAAAAAAAACCTATTGTCCTATCCCAGGAGAGCCAATAGTTCAGATTAAAATTGTAATTAAGTACAATATTATATCTGACCAAATGAGATGGTGGAGTGGTAAGGGGAGTGAGCTTCTATTCAAAGGATTTTGAGTTCAATCCTCCTTTTTTTTATTTTTTGTTTTTTTTATTTTATTTTTGTGTGTGTGTGTATGTGTGTAAAAATAGTATTCCTTCCATTTTTAATTCCTAAATAATTACTCTATATATATTTATCTAAGTAATTGTTATCATGTTTTCCTCTCTCTCTCCCTCTCCAAAAAAAACCCTAAAATCTTTGGCAACCGCAAGAGGCTACCATCATCATCTCTTTGATGATGGTAAGCCCCATTTCTTTCTTTATTTCCTTTGTTTTTTTGTTTTTAGCCATTAATAATTCTCCTTGCTCTCTCTTTATGAGAGTTTTCTTCCCAATTTTTGGGTTTGTTCTCTCCTTTTGTGAGAGTTTGGTGTTTGTATTTCTTCTCTTCCCTTATGGAAGATTGGAATTTATTTTTAGGGTGTTATTTGAAAGATTGGATTCATGGGTTGTTATTCGTACAATTTTGCAATTGGCGTTGGAATTGATGATGCGATCGACATGGTCAGGTAATGAATTTTCTTCCCAAAACTATCTCAAGAAAATGGATTCCCTCACAGAAGGCTGCATAATTCAGCGAACAATCGGGATCTGTACTTTATCGTCAGATCTAGTTTCTCATCATCATAGTTTCTTTAAAGAGGATTTTTACTTGATTAATTTAGATTGTATTTTATTTTTCTATAATGCTTATTGTAGATGCCGTATGGCTTTCAATTAATGATATTTTATCTTTCCCTTAAAAAAAAAAAAAAGTAATTGTTATCATAATTTTGCATGAACATATCCCCTAAATTACGGGATGTAATAAAGAATTATATATGAAAATTGTATTTAATTAGCTATATCATCTAATGTCCGAATTCTTTAAAATTTTCGAACCCATAAGCAACTAATTCTAGAGGAAAATTGGTGTGGTACTATGGTATATGGTGTTAGATTATTTTGACCAAGGACTCCGTATTTTGAAATTTGAATTTTTTGAGTTGTAATACATTAACAATATAGCTATTGGTGAGTTCAAGTATTGATTTTTTTCAATATTTTTGTCAAACTATTTGATTTCTATTTACCCCTCAGTTCTAAATTCTTGGCTCCACCACTACTATGACAATTACAAAAGTACTTGTAAACCTTTTTTTTTTTTTTTTTAGTTTACATATAACTTCACCAACAAAAAAAAATTTTTAACAAGTTGTTAATATATTTTTATACTAATTTTATAGGATTTTTTTACTTATACCACAAAATCTAAAAGTTTTATTATAATACCAAAAAAAAAAAAAAAAAAAAAAAAAAAAAAAAAAAAACCAAAAATTGGATTCACCACCACTTAACGGATTTTTGGATGAAATTCATTAGTGGGACTCACTTCATACACGTGTCAATAATGCATTGGTTTAAGAAAAGAAAATTTTTTTTTAAAAAAAGGAAAAGCCCTAAATCCTAACCCGGCCACCACTCCCACCATTGGCGCGCAGGATCCTCCTGCCCCCACCGCCGGCTCCCCCTACCCCACCCTCGACCGTCAAAACCAGCCCAACCGACAACCTGAACGACACACCCCCTAGCCCAACCCTAAAATTCCATCCGTACCCTAGCTTAGCCTTAGCCTTCATTTGGTTTCTAGGTGCGGGTTTGGCTTCAGGTGAGGGTGAGTGAGAGTGAGAGGAGTAGGGTGGTTTTTGGGTTTGGGTCTGGGTGTGGGTGTGGATTAGATTGGGGTTTCAGTGATGGTTAGGGTGGGGGAGAGGAGTTCGGCGACTTGATTGGGTGGGGGTGGTGGTTTTCGGCTAAGGTTGGGGTGATGGTTTTGCGTCAAGTAGGGTAGGGGAGGTTGGTTAGGGATGAGGGTAAGGTGGTGGTGGCTGAAGTGTTGGCTGCAGGGAGGGGGTGCCGCCATGTAGGTGGTGGGGGTTAGGGTTTTTTTTTTAATTTAGCTACTGACAATAATCTGTTAGATCATATGTCATTGTTAAGGAAGTCTTTCATACTACTAAACTTCAATAACCAAAACTTTATTTTTAAGTTTTAATAATTTATAAACTTCATATGTCATTATGTTATGAAAACTTTCACTGCCTTTTTCTCTTTCCTTTTTTTCTTTTTTTTGCAAAATCTTATAGAAAATAATTTGTAACTTGTAATATTTTTTTTTTTGTCTAGTTAAACAATAATATTTATTCCATATATACACTGAATTGAACTATTTCTACAAATACTTCGTATTTTTACTTTTTATTTTTTTTAAATGAGCATATATTAATTAAGTAATCTATTAACCTATATTAAAAGCAAATCCTTCCATGACACTTGTCATTACCTTGTGAAAAATTTTCCCGTCTATTTCGCTTTTTTTTTATTTTTTTTATTGCAAAATCTGTAAGAAAACTATTTATACCTTATGATATTTTCTTTCCAGTTTGTCAACCATATTCCATATATACCCAAATGAAATATTTCTAAATATTTTTTATATAATTTATGTAGTATTTTGTAATATTATTGTCAAAAATATTAACAACCGTATATTGCACGAGATAATAACCTAGTTATTAAAAAAAATCCAAAAGTGAAAGTAATTAATATCTTAACTTATAAACCAAAGATGAAACCTGCCGTCTATCTCTTGGTTAGTAATTTTCCCACCAAATGTTTTTTGTCAAAAAGCTTCGTAGAGAATATTTAATACATGTAATATAATATTTTCCTTCCAAATTTTTCATTATATTTCTCTCTTACATATTATACTAAAATACACTTTTTAATTTTGTAATTTAATACTAATTATTGTGTTCTAAAGATAAATATAAATCATTGTTTACACCAATAATAATTTAAAAATTATCGTGCGTGATACGGGAACTAACTTAGTAAAGCACATAATAGACTCTAATAGGTTTATTATGTTGCCCACACATGTGTTTCGTAACTTTACATCGGAGTTATAGTAAAGATTCTTTGTTCGTCGTGATTTTGATTTAATTTAAATTAAGATTGTTTAGAAAGATTATTTCGACTCTTGACAAAGGGTTTGTTCTATTCACGTACATTCCTTATTTAAATGATAGTTAGTAAAAATAATTGGGGTTTAATTTAGTTACAGGGTATGTACTAAAAATAAGTTCAGTTCAATAAAAATAAAATTATATTTTTTCAAATAAAATTTAATAGAAATAATTTCATTTTAGTAAAAACAAGTTTTTTTCAGTAAAAATAAGTAATAGGACATGTTCTCTTCACCTTATTTTTTATTAACTAAATTTATTTTAAATGCATGAACTGAAATTAATTCTATTGAACTTTAATTAATTTAAGAAAAAATTGTAAATATTAAGTCAACCTTTTGGCCAGCCGCTTTTATTATGTCAACCTTTTGATTATTTATAAACACGTCAACTTTGTAATACTATTAACTAGTGTGTGGCCTAGGCGATGCCCCGAATTGCTGGTTTTTACTTCTTTAATTTGTTGTCATGTTTGACTATTTGTATAGCTAGCGTGTGGTCCGGATATTGCCTCGAGTGCCACTTTTTCTTTACCTCATATGTTTTTATTTTTTAATCTTGTGAAAAATAAATAAATTATATAACCTCTAATCTATGCTATTATTTTAAAACAGGGAGTTGGAGGGACCATGTCCTCTCCCTATTTTTTATGATTAAAAAAAAAATTCGTTAATCATATTCCTGTTTTTTATCTTTTTTTTTACACACTGTTTTTTATCCTTTTTTTTTCTTCACAAACAACACTTCGTTAATCATCATTCCTGTTCAGCCAATCCAAAAAAAAAAAAAAAAAAAGTGTTGCAAAATTCTCAAACGACGCTATCTTCTTCATCTTTTTTTTTTCTTGTTTATCCTAAATTTTTTCCACACAACGCTTCTTTTGTTTCTATCAGTCTCAAACGACACTATTTCCTCTCAGTTTTTCCATTCAATATTTAAAAATAATTTGATTCTCAAGTCCTCATTGATACCTGATTAATCCTCTTTCTCTGTCTTCCAAACGATCTCTCTAATTTTGAAGGTCAGTTGTAATTCCTCCCTCCCCCCTTCAATTTCTCATATTTTAAGGCAATTTTTATGTTTTAATTTTGTCAGAAATTCAATTTCTTTATTTTATATAGACCTCATAAATTCATAATGGGTTGATGGGTGAGTCAAATATACAAGTTTACTACTGTATATAATAATCTATACTAATTTTTCCTTTTTTTTTTTTAATTATTAGCACAAAGTTAAAGCTATGTTTCTATGTAGTTTATTTGGTAACTATTTTCGAATGCATATCAATTAAATTTAATTTTGATGAAGTGTTTAATTTTTAAATTGTGTTTTTAATCATGTTGGAAATACCGTTGCCAAATGTGATGATTTTTATTGCAAAAATTCTTGAAAAACGCCGGCTTACACTAATTTAGTGTAAAACTGGCCCACTTCTCTCTTCTGGATTGGACTCACACGTGCCAGTCCAGTGGTTATTTCTTCTTCCTTTTCTTTTCATTTTAGCGCGTATTATATGCAATTTCTCTCTCCTCTGTTCATATTTCTCTGCAATTTCTCTTCATCTTTCCTTTGTTTTGTTGGTTTTTTTTAGTTGATGAATTGAATTTTGGATTCTTATCGGTTTTTGAGGTTAGTTTTTAAATTATTTTTGGTTTTAATCGCATAATTTTTGTTCATTAGTTGTTGTAATTGTTGATTTGTTATTGGTTTTCAATTTTCCATGTGAATTATTAACTTGTAATTCTCCACTTTATGTCAATTTTTAAGTAGAATTCTTTGTTTTTGTTGTAATTTGTTGTATTCGTAAGTACATTAGTTTGATTTTTGGTTTTTTTGTTTTTGATCGTAATTTTGTTCATATTTTATTGTTACCTGTTTCATTGTGTTCACATTAGATTGAATGTTTTAGGTGTTACTAGTTTTTGTTGTTGTTTTTTTTTTTTTTTTTCCTGTTTCTTCATGCATTTTCTTCAATTTGTTGTTGATGTCAGTATTTGATTAATTAATCGTTCTTATTTTGAATTTTAGGGTTTAATTTCTTGAATTTGCGATGGTGAAATTTAGAGGTGGTCTTCGAATTTTCGAAGGAGACGTGGTTTGCGAAGCTCTGTTGGCGGATCTGATGATGCTCAAGGTTTTACCAATTTCTCTATTTACAGTTACAATTTCTTGATTTATGTAAATTTGTTAAAGTTACAAAATTAGTTGTTATAGTTATATAAATGTTTGCTTAAGTTATGCTAGCTTGTTATAGTTATATAAATGTTTGCTTAAATTATGCTTTATGTTTTATTATATGTCAGATTGTTTTATAAAAGTTATGTTTATTATAGTTATAGTTATACTATTTTTAGTTAAAGTTATGTTAATCTTAAACTTCGGTATTGTGAGCTTGTTATAGTTATATAAATGTTTGCTTAAGTTATGCTTTATGCTTTAATATATGTCAGATTGTTTTATAAAAGTTATGTTAATTATAGTTGTAGTTATACTTTTTTTTTAGTTAAAGTTATGATTTACATTTTAATACTATTATTTTCTATAGGTGCTAATGATGTAAGCAATGAAGTTAATGTTGATGTGGAGAAGGGTGGAAAGAAGGGAGGTGGTGTAGAGGAGGCTGCAGTAAAGGAGGTTGCACTAAAGAATGGTGTTGTTAAGGAAGCTGCAGTAAAGGAGGGTGCAGTAAAGAAGGGTGCAGTAAAGGAGGCTGCAGTAAAGAAGGGTGCAGTGAAGGAGGCTGTAGTAAAGAAGGGTGCAGTGAAGGAGGCTGCAGTAAAGAAGGGTGCAGTGAATGAGGATAAAAGTGAGGATGAGGGTTCTCGGCAGGATGGAGGTGATGATGAGGAGGGTTCAGAAGAAGGTGGAGGTGATGATGATGAGGGTTCAGAAGAGGGTGGAGGTGATGATGAGGAGGGTTTTGTACAGGATGGAGGTGATGATGAGGAGAGTTCAGAAGAGGGTGGGGGTGATGATGAGGAGGGTTCTAAATAGGATGGAGGTGATGATGAGGAAGGTTCGAGAGAGGATGAGGGTGATGATGAGGAGGGTTCAGAAGATGATGAAGGTGATGATGAGGAGGGAAGTGAGGAGGATTCTAAACAAGAAGTAAGTGAGGAAGAATCTGTTGAGAGAAATAAGGAAAAAAGAAAATTGAGTGTGAAAGCAAAGAAGCCAGTAAAGGATGATCGGCGTCCAGCTGAGAAAAATCCAGTAAAGGATTATCGCCGTCCTGAGAAAAAGCTAGCTAAGGCATCCAATAATGCTTCTGTTGAGGAAAAAAAAAAGCAAAAAAATATTATCGTCGTCCGTCCGAGAAGAAGCGGAAAATGGTGAAGGACAATATTTGTCTTGCTGAGAAGGAGCCAATAAAGGGTGATCGTTGTCTGGCTAAGAAGAAGCGGAGTGGTTGAAAAGGCTGTCAAAATTGAAAATAGAAACAGACCGGATTCTGATGCTGAAGAAGATAAAGTTGTTGCAAGTATATCAGAGAGAGATGATTCTGATTCTGATGTTGAAATATAATTACCCTTTTCTGAAGTTTTTTTTTTTATTATTTCTAAAGTTATGGATTATGCTCTTAAAGTTATGGATAATGCCCTTAAAGTTATGGACATTGTGTTAGTAAGATAGATGTGATAATTAACTTATATGTTGATACAATATTTATGATAATTTTATATAAAGTTATGGATAATGATATTAATGCTATATTTTAGTACTTATTTATAGTTATAATTTTGTGTTTGCTAATGTTGCATTTATTATTTCTAAAGTTGTATTTATTCTCTTTAAAGTTATAGTTGTTCATTTTATTTTTCCTTTCTTCTTTTTTTGATTCAGATTGGATAGGTTTTTAAGTACCCATTGCAGACCGCACACATTAGTAGATCTCATGAAAGATTTTTTTGATGAGCAAGTTAAATCTGTTGTTGAAATAGGATTTGGTGGTTTGTTGGATTTAAAGTTGACTAGAACTGTTACAACTTTACTTCCTTGGTTGGTTTATCAGTTTGATCCTGTTAGTTGGATGTTTTCTATAAGTCTTGGGAAGGAATTTGTTATTTCTCCCTATGATGTTTATGATGTATTTAAGTTACCTTTGAATAATGGGATGGATGATTTAGAGAGTACTAGAAGTACTGATCTTCAATTGAAACAAGAATGGAGGAGTATGTTTGATGTTGTTGGTAGTGCAGGCATACCTTTGCATAAATTAGAGGCTAGGATTGTTTAGTTAAAGGATGGTGGGGAGTTTTTTAAGAGACTATTTGTGATAGTTGCTTTTGCTACCTTTTTAGCACCTGTTGCAAATAAAACTGCTGATTTCAGTTTTGTTAAAGCTCTTGAAAATGTTGATGAAATTAAGAATTTCTATTGGTGTAAATATGTTCATGAAAGGTTGTGTAGGGCTATTTTGAAGTATAAGAAAAGTAAGAGTCAAGACAATGTTGGGGGTTATATTTTGTTGTTGGAGATTTTGTATTTTCAGCGTCTGAAGTTCAGGAATGAGGCACAAGATTGTAGTTTGCCTCTTAACAAACACTGATTGATAAGAAAATCAGTGATAGGGTGAAAAAAAGAAGTTGAGGCTAAGTCCTTTGGTTGTGGTATTTTGGATACTTCTACATACCCTATATCTCAGAATTTTGTGTTCGGAGATCAGCTGCCTCTTCGAATTACACCTGAAGAAGCTAAGCAAACTGAAGTTTCTCAAGTTGACAATGCTGATGAAGCATCACTAGGAAAAAGGATCATTAAGTTTGATGTTCTTGATAGTATGACATCTGATGAAGAAATTCACTCTGTTGCTACTGATGTAACTTAAAAGTTGCACTTATTAATGCTAAAGTTATACTTTTTATGTTAAAAGCTAGTTATACTTATTGTAGCTAAAGTTATCTTTCTAATTATTCACTTATTATTTTTCAGGCTATTCATGAGCAATTTTTGTTGATGAAGAGGAATATGGAAGTTGTTACAAACTATCATTTGAAGAAGGTTGAAAGTTTAAAGAAGCATGATGTGGCTCGTGCTTATAGTAGTTCATCTCCTGTCTTGCAAAGTCAGGATTATGATCCAAGAATTTTTGAGATTGTTGACGAAATTGTTGATATTGTGTTATAAGTGAAGAAATTGCCTGGAGGTATTTCAAATATTGCTTGTGATGTGAATGTTGGGGGTGGGGAGAATGGTGGAAGGGTGGAAAATGTTCCAGGGGTGATTTTGTTAATAATATTGTTCAGAATGTGATTGAAAAGATTAACCTAGATTATGGTGAAAGTTCTTTCTCATCTATAATCATGAATGCTTTGGGTAATGGTAAGGCAAAAATATCTGTTGGATGTGGGCCATGTGATGTTGAGTTTGTTGGACATGTGATGAAAAGCAATAAGAAGTCTTTGAAAAAATTACCAAAGTTGTATCAGGAGATTGCTGATTATTGCTTCTTAGATGATATTCAAGTGCTGAAACAGTAAGTTATTTATATTTTAGTTAAAGTTATATTTTTTTGCTTAAAGTTATGTTTTTATTTCTTAAAGTTTTTTTTTAACTGGTTTTTGTTTATTTAGGGAGTGTTTGGTGTGGTTTGATCTTACTCATACTGTTCTAAGAGAAGATATGGTGTCTTTAGCTGCTAATTTGGAGATTTTCCAATCTGTTATTGAGTGTTGGGCAATGTTGCTGAATGAGAATGAAAGAATGCGCGACGGAGGTCCTCAAAAATTCTGTTTTGGTGCTGAATGCAGTGTAAGTTTTATGTAAAGCTACATGTATTTTTCTTTTAATTGATGTTTTTATATTTAATTCTTATGGATTTCTTTTTGTCTGATTGTTATTTAGGCTAACTTGGTAAAGCTTTGGGATGATGAAAATGATATTGATGTTATGGATCAACTTCAAGTTTGTTGGAAGGAATGGATTCAAGTCACAAACAACAATTTTGATATCAGTGTTGTTGATTTGGTAATAATTATTTCTACTATTGTGTATTTTAATTCACATGTGTCATCATTTTTTTTTATTTCTAATTCTCTGTATTTTAAATTACAAATGATAGGTTTTTGTTCCTATTTATGTGTATCACCACTTCTGGGTTTTTGCGTTGAATATGAAGAAAAAAACCATGCAATTATTGGACAATTCGGTTTATGAAGAAGCTACCATGGAAACAATTAAGCATTTGTCTGTAATATTGGTAATTGTTTAAATTATTGTTAAAGTTATACTTGTTTTTGTAAAAGTTACACTTATTTTTGTTAAAATTACATTTTTTTAATTATATGTTTAATTATTGTACTTTGTTCTTCCTTTTGTAGTGTGATCATTTGAGCACATTATTCAATAGTCTTGGTCATCTTGAATTTAGTGAAGTTGGAGATTATGCAATGGAGGAGGTGATGTTCAGTTGGAAGAATAATAAAGGATATGATCAAGATTGTGGAATATATTCTATGATGTGTATGTTGTTGTTTGAAGGTGCTACTTTTAGTTGTGATGCGTTGATGCGGGTTAGTTGCAATTTTTTTAGTTAATTTGTTTTTTTTTTGTTTTTTTTACTGTGATTACATGATACTAATATATATAGTTCTTAAATACAGCCAAGTTCAAGAGTTGTACTTCGAGCAGAGATATGTGCAACATTGGTACTGTCTGATATGAATGATGGCAGACAATTAGTGTTGAATTCATTATGCAATTTTAATCCGCGTCGATTAGAGCTAGCACCTGAATTTGCTGAAAAGAGAAAGCTGATGATGCAACCAAAAAGGAAAGAGGAAAATGCGGCAAAAAATTGAGTAAAGAAGTCAAAAAGAAAGATGCCAATAAGAAAGAAAAATCTGCCAAGGGGAAGTAAATATTGTATTAGCAATAGTAGGATTTGTTAAGGGGAAGCTAATGTAGTTAGAACTTACAGTAATTTCATTCTTTTGTAAGTATATACTGATGCTTTTTTTATGTCTACTTTCTAATTGGAAGTCTTGGTTTGGTTAATACCATGCTTTTGTTAAAAGTTATGGATAATGCAAATTAAAGTTAAGGATACTATTATAATAGTTATAGTAATTCTACTGAAAGTTATAGTTTTTTTAGCAAAAGTCATCATTACTTATACAATAAAAAAAAGATCAATATATTGTATTTAAAAGTTCAAGAACAATACAATAGTCTCAAATAGTCTAAGATCAATGAATATAGTTCAAAATTAAAGAACAATGTACTAAGATAAATCAAAGTCTCAAATTAGGGGTTATAGCTCCAAACTCAAGTGGTGGTACTGCAGTCTTCTTTCTTTCCTTCCTTTTGTTGTTGTACTTTCAGGATCTAATATAAGAGGTGCCTCAGTTGTTGTACTTGATGATGTAGCTTGGTTAGTCTCTACTTCAGTAGCTTGGTTAGTCTATGCTTCTGTAGCTTGGTTAGTCTCTGCTTCAGTAGCTTGGTTAGTCTCTGCTTTAGTAGCTTGGTTAGTCTCTGTTTCAGTATTTTAGTTGGTCTCTGATTCAGTATTTTGGTTGGTCTCTGCTTCAGTAGCTTGGTTAGTCTCTGCTTCAGTAGTGTCGTTGATGGTTGTTAGTAGTTCTTCAACGAGAGAAAGGCTAGCAGCATAAATGTCCTCGATAAGGGTTCTCGACTCTTCATTCGATTGACTTTTCAATATTAGATTATAGAATTTTCTAGCCATGGTTTGACACCAAGGTGTGTATTGATGTTGTTCAGGTTCTTCATTGTCACGTCTTTCCCAAATTTATGATTTTGCAAACTTTGTCCATCTTTTCTTTATATACTGATCTGGTATTCTCATCACTGAATGTAAGTGTAATATTCTGATGCAATGATAGCATAACCATCTAGAAGCTTCTAAGTTCTTGCAAGTGCATGTAACTTGGTTGTTGTCAAATTCAAAAGTGACTTTTTGTTGCGACCAAGGTTCACTTTCAATTTCCAATAAATAGAACAAGGTACTACCATTTTGCCAAAGCAATTTTGTGGTAGTTGCAATGGAATACCCAAATTCTTCTTCAAAATCTGTGAATAAAGACAAAGTGTAGATTTCTAATGTATATTTCAGCAGACCAAATAATGGTATTCTTGATGATGCAGTTGATTTACTACACGAGAAGTCATCATGTTTTTCCGTGCTTCTCGAACAATGTATACAAGCTTTGAAAATGCTATAGAATTCAGTCAATCTTGTTGATCTATTTGCTCTAAACCCAATTGCATGATTGGTACTTTCACTTCGTTGGGAAGAGAGGATACCAGCTGAGAAGAAGTCTTTGCTTAGAGCTGGACACCACTTTTCTTTTAGATCATAAATTCTTTGGAACCAACTATCTTCTTGTAATTTATACTTCTCAATAATTGAGTTCCATACAGTTTCAAACTCAACTTCAGTTACACATCGTTTCAAACAGTAGGAGAATGTTCTCTTAAAATCCTTGTCTCGTTTCAATGATCCAAATCTTGTAATAGCATTTTGTTCCAAATGCCATATACATAATCTATGTCTGACCTCTGGAAAGACCTTAATTATAATCAGATATATTTTTAGAAAAAAAGGTAACTACACAATAGAAACAAGGTAACTTTAACACCTTTATGTATAACTTTAAATGTTACCTTCTGTATTGCAGAGCACATTCCTTGATCTTGGTCTGTGAAGATTGAGATTGGGAATTTCCCTCCATTGACTTTTTGAATGTCTCAAGAAGCCATACAAATGATTCAATTTTCTAATCTCCAATAAAAGCACACCCAAACATGCAATTTTTCCAATGGTTATTAATTCCAACAATAGGAGCACATATCAAATTGTATTTATTTGTCCTATATGTTGTGTCAAACACTACAACATCTCCATAAATACTATAATCTTCTCTCATCATTGAGCATCTCCAAAATAGTGCTCTCAACTTGCCTTCTTTATTCAATCTAAATCTAAAGAAAAATTCAGGATCATTAGCAAGTTCCTGGTACATTATCTCAGAGACTGCTTGTGCATCACCACCTTCAATATTTTTCATTTTCAACCTTGTCCAATAATTCAGATGGTCTTTCTTTGTGTGTCCCAAGTTTTCTTCACCTCCAGCTTCATTGCACATAGCTCGATATGAGTCCATAGCTGAAAGTCCTGACTTTTGCAAGTTTTCTATTACTTGTCCCTTTTCTTTAGTCATTTCTCTTTTAGATCGATGAAGATAGTGCCATTGTTTTCTTGTGAGTTCATGATTATGTACCAAAACATGTTGTACTGCTTCAAACAATCCATCCTTATTCATCTTAACTCTTATACAAGCTCTACAATCTGTTCTTGTGATAGGAACTAGCCTTGGTTTTCTTTTCTTTTTATTTTCTGCATTCTCCACAATTGCTTCTATTTTTTTTTTCTTTTTTCTTTCCTCAGTGTTTGTTTTACCTTGTGCAGAACAAACATAGTATTTCTCCACAATAACTTTTCCAGTTTTATCCCTAGTCCTACCTGTATGTTTCCTTACTGAAAATCCTACAATTGATGCATGTTTTTTGTAAATCTCATGCATTTCTTCTAAGGTTTTTGTTCTGATGCCTAATAGTGTTCTCCCAACATCAATATTGGTTTCTATGACTGCAATTCCAACAGTATAGTAGATTTAAGTTTTATGAAAAAAGTGTAACTATAATTCAGTAATGCTACGGTAACTTTTTAAGCCATATTAGGTAATTTTGATAGTGTTATCACTAACTTCACTATTTTATTAAATTATATAATATAACTTCTAAGCCTTATTTTGTAACTTTGACAATAACAACTATAACTTTTAAGCCATAAACAAAACAACACTTATATTTTTTAAAGTTACACTTATGTTTCTTAAAGTTACACTTCTATTTCTTAAAGTTACACTATAAATTAAACAAGTATGCAATTTCAATTTTACTTGTACTTTTCAATATTAAACAGAAACTTCAATTTAAACAATTCTACAACTGTTCAAAAGCTTAATGTTACCTTTAGAAGTTGAATCTTCATCCGCTGAGATTTGCTCTTCATCCGCCGAGATTTGCACTTCATCAGCTGAGATTTGTTCTTCATCGAGATGAACTCTACTCTCATATGGATCTGCATTTATCGTAATTTATTCAATCACCATTTTACCTATTTTTGGTAAATTTGTACAAATTCATATACAAAATTACGTACCTGAATTGAGGTTTTGATGCATTGCATTGTCATCGATTTCGCAATTTAGGTCAATATTATTGCCACATTGCCTGCAATTTAGTGTTTGTTGCATAGAATCGTTGTTTAAATCAACCTTAATTGCAGAATCAACTTCAATTTCTTCCGAAGTTTGCAGATCGTTTGAAATTGGTGCTTGAATTTGTTTTTGAGATTGTAATAATTTGTGAATTAGGGAATCCACTGATGTTTTGCAGAGAATTTGCAGAGAATTTGAGAGAATATTTCAAAGAAGAAGAAGATGATGTTTTGCAGAAGAAGAAGAAGAAGAATTGAGCGCTATTAATACTGCAATTGGCACGTGCCAATCAGGATTTACATTAAGCTTACTGTATACCGGTTGTACGCAAGAAATATTGTATTTATTGTCTGTAAATTTAATTTTTTAGAATAAATTTGTAACAGCATTCCCTTTTTTGTCTACTTTCATCTTTACAAACAAATTTTGTAAAAAAAAATTATCAAATCTAGACTAATATTAGTAATATGTCAGACACACAATTTTATTGTAACTGTTGTTACTAAACTACACCGTACTTTTTTATTTTTTGAATTTAAAAATATATAGTTTAATGATTTATGATAATATTTATGGTAAGTACTTTTTTTTCTCTTAAAAAAAAATTCGTATGAAGATTTTTTCCATGTGTTTTCATTGTTAGACTGATTATTTTATTTATAAAAAAAATCATTATATTGTTTTTGTTTTGGGTTTAAGACTTTAAGTAGAAAAATTTGTCATTATATTGGTTTTGTTTTGGGTGGTGGTAATGGAGGATAGAATAACTTTCTCTCCTCCCTCCTACCATCTTCCTCCATTACCACCACCCAAAGCTCACCCCCTTCTTTCTTCCTCATCCCTCAACCACGCCTCTTCCCCTCGAAGACCTGCCGCCCCCCTTTCCCACAGCCACCTTGCTTCCCCTCCCCTTCCCTGTAGCCATCTTGCCCCTCAACCCCCATCCCCGAAACCCTTGTTCACCTTTGAGGGTAACGGAAATCGAACCCCCTCCCTTCTCCACTTCCCAAAATTGGTCCACCCCAGAATTCGGGCACCCTCTCTTTCTCTTTCCCTTCCCCACTGCCGAATCTGGTGGTCCTTCACCACTAAAACACTGGTTTCGAGGGGTGGGGGAAAAAAAGGGGGGTGGATTTCTTGGGTGAGGGTTTAAGGTGTTTTCGGAGTAGGGGGTTCGAGTTAGGGGCGATTTCGGGGGTGGGGCTGGGGAGGGGGTCTGTTATGGTCAAGTGGTTCTGGAAGGAGGGTGGTTTCGGTGGTGGGGCTGGGGGAAGGGTGGTTGTCGGGGCTGAGGCAGGGTAAGGGAGTGGCTGCCGGGACGGAAATGGATGTGGGTGGGGAGTTCAGTTCGGTCGTTTCCCTGGTGGTGGTTGTGATGGAGTGATCATGGAGGAAGAGAGAGGAAAGAGAGAAGAAGGAGGGGAAGGGGAGGGAGGCCGGCGGCAGGGGCCTGACCTGGGCTGGCTCCCTGGTGGCTGGCTGTTTTTTTTTAAAAAAAAAATTTTATTTTGTTGACCAATCACAAACTGCCACGTGTCATGTAACCTGTTATAACAAGTTACATGAACGGTTGGGACCATTAAAAAAAATCAGGGGGTAAAGGTGGGATTATTAAAAAATAATCCAAAGGTGGGATTATTAAAAACGAACGGCTCAAAGGTGTGATTTTTTCATGAATTTTTCCTTTGATATATCAACGAATTTCAATTCAAACTGATACGATTTGGATGAGGTCGTGCAATAATAAAACTGTATATATTTTATTTGGTGAAAATAATAAAACTATATATCAATGTACTTAGTTTGGTTTATGTTATGGGATGTGACAAAGTTTTACACTGGCTGTCAGTAGCCTACTAAAACCCTCCCCCTTTATCCAGACTTGGGACTGACAGCGGGAAACCCACTGGCGGAGTTACCCATAAGGACACGGGTGCGTATTGCGTGTTCGGTACAGGTATGATGATCATTAGAAGTACCCATGGGAAATGAAATACTAGGTTGCACTAAAACAGGTACGGGATCGAGTACAAACACGAAACAGGTATGCAAAACAGTTGCTTGAAAAATAGAGGATGCGGGTATAACTAATTAAGTATGGTATAAATATTCTTTAAATAAATATTTTATAAAATTTATAGTATTATTTGAAAATTTTTACTTAATACGAGGTTTTTTTTTTTTTTTTGGTGTTTATACGAAGTATATTTTAAGAAGACAAAAAATCATTCAAAAATTTGTAAAGGTCATAAACATTATTTTTATATCTATTTCTAAACTTTTTTTATTCAACATTGAATTATATTTATAGCATGGGGTACCGTGATAAAATGGGTACACATGGGCCTTAGTTGATTTTGTGAGATTTGATACTTAGAGATTTTAAAACCGTGCAATTGCACGGGTACTATATTAGCGGTTCACTATGAGACAAATAAATCAATGTGCAGCTAACAAGTGTCACTCTATGATTCGCTTGTCTTATATCTGTTATATTATCTCTAATAAAGACTTGACATATTTTATTGCGTATTTTTGGTTAGTTTATATTATATAAATTATTTCGATTCCAAAATATATTTTATTAAATTTGATTGATTCTAAGCAATTGATTAAATTTCCAATATGATAAATTTTTTTCAATGTTAATAAGTTTATGAATGTGCAATTTTTGTTTATTAAATTACAAAGATATATGTATAGCTTTTTTCACACTTTATATCTACCTATTTAATGCAATTTTAGACTATATATCTAATGTAATTTTAGATTAATATAGAGTTTACCAATTGTGAATATACAAAATTAAAGTAAAATTAAATTAACTTAGATTAAAAAATATATATCTAATAATGTAACTTTTTCCTACGAAAAAATAAAAAAAAGTTAAACAATATTTGCCTAACAATTTTTTTTGCCAAAAAATTATGCATATATAATAATAATAAAATATTCTGTACAATTTTAAAGTATTTTTTTTTTATTAACATAGATTTCTAATGAAATTTATACGAAGAATATTTTCATTTCTATAACCATTAAATTAAAAATCATGTTCCCTTTAGGTTTTCTTCTTGGGAGGTTTTTTGGTTCCTTCTAGGGTTTTTCCTTTGGGAGGGTTTTTCTAGCCTCCATTGCTAGATTTTTTCTGCTTTTTTGAAGGTTTTCCTTCCCTCTTCTCCTTTTCTCTCTTTCTCTTTCATCTCTTTTCTTCTGGTCTCAATTGTAAATTTTTGTAGGGGCTTCCATCGCTGTTTTTACCGGTGATAAGACCCAAAAAACTTTTTATTTGTTTTTAATAAATGGATCCCATCTCTATGATGATGTTTATTCTATTAGGCTTAATTTCTTTATTTGTTCGTCTGTCAAAAGATTGAAGATTTAGGGTTTTATAATCTCCGAAAGTATCTAGAAGGCCATATAAGTTTTTTTTACCCAAAAAGCTATTCATCAGTGGATCTCAAGCCAAATTAGTGCTAACTCACATATTGTATTGCTTCGGATGAAGTTTTTTTTATTAAGGCGATCGTTGATCGAATCTGCAATGTAACTAGTTCTAAGGTGATTTGTACTTGTGTTGGAATTTAGATTTCCTAAGAATTGTTTGTAAGTACCGTTTGGCTATCTTTCATTAATGAAATCCTTTTTCTTCTTGTAAAAAAAAATTCATATTTACTTACTAATGTAATGCTAATATTCAAAATTTAAATAATTACAATATAAGAATATATGTCTGTAAAAAGAAATATATATTACATACATAATTGGTTAGTTGATGAAATATGTCTTTTATTCTCAAAAATCTTAATAAATATCTTTTATTCGTATAAAGTTTATCAATATCCATATCTATAGATTTGTGTTGTATATTCAATCAGTTGTTGATTGGTTGTATGGGATATTGTGTAATTGTTTTTGACACAATATTTTGCTTAGGAAAATGTACTACCTCCGTTTCTGAAAGTTCGACTCACTTACTTTATTTTGACCACATTTTATGAGCTATACAATATAAATAAATTAGCATGTGAGATCATATTAGACTCCTCTTATTATGAATAATTCAAATATCAACTTTTTACAAATTTCACTTATACACAATCGGAGTTATTCATGGTCAAAGATGTTCATTAGAGACCGAGCAATTGCAAAGTGAGTCGAACTTTCAAGAACGGTGGGAGTATATAGTGGTGGGTCAACTATAAGGTTATTGTTGTGTCTATAGATTTGGTGTATATATAAAACGGGTAAAGCAGATATTCGATTGTATAGTTGCTGAAGCGAATGGTATGACTGGAAACTTTTAGTTTTTTAATCCACGGGAGGTAGGAAATGAATTAGTGCACTTCTCTTATATAGTTATGTGGAGCATATTTCATTTATCTTTCAATTGAAAAAATAACATTATAAAAAAAGTAAACGGGAATAGAATAAAAGAAATGCAAATGACATAAAATACTATTCAAATTATATTTCTTAATTTTTGTACGTATCTGCCATTATTGCTGTTTAGGTAAAAGCACCTAGTCCACGTGGACTAATTTCATGGTGACACGTGGCAGCCCAGGTCATGATTGGTAAAAACTGGTCTTCTTGGCCCAATCCATGAAGCAGCCCACCAGCCTTTGGGTTTCATAAACCTAAAGCAAAGGGGCTGTTCTCCTAACCCTGTAAATAGGGAGATCACCTCATTTATGAGGGTATTCATAAATTTATACACAAACTAGAGCAATATTAATTGCAGATATTCTCTCTCGAAATCCGAGAGAAACTCTTTACTTTCCGCACTTTATTACATCCGAACACGTTCTAAGTTGATCGTCGGATGCGGAACTCCATCCAACCGGAGTCTCCGTGGTTTTGCAGGTACAGACAGTCGGCATCCAATCTTGGAATTATAACTCTCCCGAGGGACTCCAAAAACCCCAAAATATTTGGCGCCGTCTGTGGGGAGAGTACTTCCAAAATGGCATCCCACGAATCTGTACCGCCTGCTAATGAGAGACGGCCTATGGCCGAGGCTGAGGTCCACACGA